TGGACTTGGAAGTGCCTCTAGCCATTGAGCCATTTTGCCAGCATATGATAATCTTTTAAAAATTCATTTCAACTCTGTTTTATTGTTAGAAAATATCTATATTCTTGGGATTAGAGAGATGACTCTGGTTAAGAGCACTGGCTGCTCTTCCAGAGGTCCTGAGTTCAATTCCCGGCAACCACATGGTAGCTCACATCCATCTGTAATGAGATCTGATGCCCTCTTCTATCATGCATGCTTATATGCAAATAGAGCACTGATATATGTAAATAAATCTGAAAAAGAAAGGAAATACATATTCTTAAAACAAATCTTTTTTTTTTTAATTTTTTTTAAATTTTATTTTCCAGTTTAAATTTAGATAAGAATCAAGGTTGCTTCACAAGTCAGTTCCAGGTCCCTCTCCCATTCCCTCCCTTCCTCCCGTGCCCTCCCCCCCCCCGTTATCCTCTCATTTCTCCAGGGAGGGTGAGGCCCTCCATGGGGGTGTCCATAGTGTGTCATTTCATATAGGGCAGAGCCTAGACCCTTTCCCAAGAGTTCTGGGTGAGAGTGCACCTCACATTGTTCTATTGGAGTCCAAAGTCCGTGTGTATACTTGGGATGGGTACTGATCTGCTGCCCAAGGCTCAATAGAATCCCTAGGCCTCTTCACTGACACCCAGATTCAGGGGGTCTTGATCAGTCCCATGCTGGCTTCCCAGGCTAATGCCTGGGATTCAAGAGTTAACCTTTGTCTGGTCAGCTGTTTCTGGGGGTTAAACCAGCCCAGTCTTAATCCCTTTAAAACAAATCTTTTAAACAAATTTTAAAAATTAAAAATTTCTCATAGAAAAAAACCATCCAAGTGAGAAGAAAATCATACTGTAATACATATATCTTCTGTTTAGAGAGCAGAACTGAAGACAGTACATCAACTAGAAATATTTTACTGTTGTACTGTGAGAAATAGCTGACTCTAAAGCTAGTTGGGGGCTATCACTGTAAAATGTGTTGATATAATGGAGGATTCAGATTCACCACAATAGTCCTAGAGAGAATTTGTCTTTTGTTTTTGCCAAGTATGACTTATTAGAGTCTTGAAAACAGGTAGTGCTATTGCTTGCATTTTACAGATCCAGTGCTCTCAGAGGGACAGTTACCCTACTTCAGTTTTTTTCCCCCTCTGAATTGTTTTTAGGTATTGCTTAAAAGGAAAAAAGCCTCTTTCCTTTTTCCCCCTAAATGTTGTGCATTAGTGTTTTGGTTGCATGTATGTGTCAGATCCATTGTAACTAGAGACAGCTGATTGTAAATTGTCAAGTAGGTGCTGAGACTCAAACCCAGGCCCTGTAGAAGAGGAGCCCGTGTTCTTAACTGCTGAGCCATCTTTCCAGCCAGAAAAACAAAACAAAACAAAACAAAACACCTCATTTGTTGTACTCATTCAATGTGTTTGCTCAACCAGTGTTAGGAATGCATTTGCTCAGCTCTGTGCCAGGGCCTGGAAATAGAAAATCTGATAGGCTACTGACCTTACCCCGAATCTGAAAACCCTTGCATTTAGAAGAAGAAAGCGATGAATTGTAGAATTAAATAGAATTTTATTATTTATTTTTATTGTGCTTATTTAAGTGTGTGTGTGTGTGTGTGTGTGTGTGTGTATGTGTGTACGTGTTTACACCCATGAACACAGTCTGCAGCACATGTATGGAAGCCAGAGGATAGCTCGGGGGAGTTGGTTCTTTTCCCACCTAGGGGTTGAACTCAACTTAGCAGTAAGTGTGCCTTTACCAGATGAATGATTACTGAATTTTAAATTTATTCTTTAAATTTCCTTTTAAGGAATATATAACAGCTATTGTCTTTAGGAAACTGGAACAGTTTATGTTGCTTCATAAAAATCAGGGTAGAGGTTACTGGGATTGGTGGTGAATGCCTGTAATTCCAGCATTCAGGAGTTGGAAGAAAAGAAAGGAGGACTGAGAGTTCAAAGCTAGTCTCAGCTACATGGTGAGACCCTGTCTTAAAGCAACAAAACAAAAGGTCAAGGTAAGGCATGAAGTGAGATTGGTAGAGAAGGACCAGCTCTTGTATTATTAAAAAAAGAGGTCTTGGGCATTGACCTATATTCTTTTCTGGTTTTTTCTTTTTCCTTCCTTCCTCCCCCCCACCCCTTATTTAGACATTGTCCTATAGCTCACATTGGCCTTGGCACTCTGTGTAGCTGAGGATTACCTTTGGACAGCTTCGCTTCAGTGTGTGAGGTTTAACGCTGCATGAACAAGGGAGTTGGGGAGGACAAGACTCAAGAGAAAACCAGTTGAGAAGGGAATAGTTGAGAAACAATGGTGTAGGCAGGAGACAAAGACAGTAGTAATATAGATGGAGAAGACGCCATGGGGTGCTTTATGAGACTGGTGAACTTGTACAAAGATCCCGATCTCTAGTCCTTTTCCTTTCTTTTTTTTTTTTTTTTTAAACCAATAAAGGTAACTCATTGGAGGTATTCATATACTAAAGGAAGCAATTTGACTCTTTTCTTTAGCCAGTTGATGTCCTACATATTTATAAGCAGGGCTGTGAAGTGCCATGATGTTTGTCTTAATATGATTTGAACTCTAATGAATGTTTAATTTTAGGGGTATCATAAACTTTGGATTGATACACAGGATTCAGCCACATTAGCTGTGTGATGGATATTGGGGTAATTATGTAAGCATTGTTCTGAGCTTGTTTGCTTGTGAGGGAGAGAGATGATAGTAAAAGAAGCTGTAAAAGTGCCTTCTCAGCTCAGAGATAGGTAGATAATAGAGGCTTAGCTAGTATTTATACTTCATTTAATCAAAGAGTGATAGGGCAGTATTTCTCTTACTGGGGTAAAAATTAGTTCTTAGTCGATAGAGAGTTAAAAAAAAAAAAAGACCTTACCCTTAATGTACAAAATTACACACTTTTACTGCATAAACAGTATAGTGTATTATGGTACAGTACAGTATCGTATCTGTGCTACTCAAATGTCATGGGGGAATGGGGCTGATTAGGAAAATAATGTCTGTATGGCCTTTATAGGGAGATGATGAAAACAGACACACGGTCTGTGGAAATAATACACAGTCTAGAGTATGAAATGCTAAGAAATGTGAGTTTTTTCTCATTAGTGTGGTGAATAGGTGCTCACTTTGGCACTTGTTCAGATTCCTACCCCCCCAAACAAAAACCCCACTAATAAACAAAACTAACCCCAAACTCTGCTACCCCATACTTTTTGATGTTTTCTAAATAAATTAGTATTCTTGAGTATTTTAGAAAAACTATGACCATTTAGGATAAGAATGACCATAATTAAATGAAAGGTTGTCACCATAGAAATAATTTTTCCAAATGAAGTTTGGTAAGTTTACCAGTGTAGCTTCTACCAGGAGTTATTGATATTTTTGTACTTGGGGATTTGATTAGTTTTATATTAGTGAATAAGGTATTTGTATAACTGGATGTTCTCATTAACTGAAGGCTCAAATGACAAAACAAGGCTTTTAAAGTTTTATATTTTCATCCGGTTTTCTGAAAATAACTTTAGTTGACTGTTACACAACACCCTCTTTATGGTATGGGAAAGGAGGGTAAGCATGTAATTAATTAGTATCATCAGTGACTTCCATACAAAACTCAGTTCCAACAGTATAATTTTCTAGTAGGAAAGACAAACATTACCCCATTATTGCTATTGTTATTAAAGTGAACTAAGTTCCTTGATAAAGAAATCCTGAAGCTGGGCGTCGGTGGCACACGCCTTTAATCCCACCACTCGGGAGGCAGAGGTAGGCGGATCTCAGTGAGTTCGAGGCTAGCCCGGTCTACAGATCGAGTTCCAGGACAGCCTCCAAAAACAATACAGAGAAACCCTGTCTTAAAAAACAAAACAAACAGCAAAACAATGACAACAACAGAAATCCTCTGTTCTTTAGCAGATAGAAAAGGCATAAAAGCACTAGTACATAGGCATAGCCATACTTCACAAACAAAACGTGACCTTCTAGTCCTCCATTCTTTGATGCTTTCAAATGTGAAAATCTTTCTCCCCATTACCCCCACCCACCCCCCTTTTCCTAGGAATTAACCTCAGCCTTGGGCATGCTAAGTTTGTGTTTTACTGTAAATTGCACTCCAATTCTATTATTGGTTTTGTTTTGAAACCTCTTGATGTATTTTGTGAAATAGTAGTTTGTTTTTGAATATTTTGTCGTCTTTAAAGATTGTTTTGGGTATATTTAATAATTTTCCCCTTAAATTTCTGTTTTTTTACATTTAACATTAGAATAACAAAAGACAATTGCTTATGTTCAGTTGGCCTACTTATTTTTCTCTCTGGCCATTTCTTTTTCTTTTTATTCACTTTTAATACACACACACACAATATTTTATTCTAGTTAAAATGAGTATTTTTAAAATAATCTTTTATGTTCCTGCTTAGAGTTTACAAGCAAGTCTCTCTTGAGCTACTCTGAGATTTCAGATATATTTTGTTTAATATACTCATTGGTTTGTGCAGTTTTAAAGATTTTTCTTAGCTCCTATGTTTGTTTGTTTGTTTATTTATTTATTTGTTTTTTTCGAGACAGAAACTCTGTGGCTTTGGAGGCTGTACTGGAACTAGCTCTTGTAGACCAGCCTGGTCTTGAAATCACAGAGATCTGCCTGCCTCTGCCTCCCAAGTGCTGGGACTAAAGGCGTGTGTCACCACTGCCTGGCCAGCTCCTATGTTTAAAAACTGAAGGAACTTATTAAAAGTTTAGATTGTTATGGTGTCTTGAAAAGTGACATGGGCCTTCAGATACAGCGTCTTTTGTGACAGCATTTGGCAATAGCTCTCACCTTCACACAGTCCATCCATTTTCTAGTGTGCCATTGTATCATATCTGTGTTATACTCATTCTGGATCTTGTTCTTGCAGTCTCTGTTCTTGGCAGAGATGGCACTTTTTTGTCTGTGCTTACACTTTATCTATTTTTGTCTTTCAGGAGAAGATGTATGGTCTTATGCAAAGGGACTTCCTCACATGTTCCAGCAGGGTGGTGTATTCTACAATATTATGAAGAAAACTATGGGTATAGTTAAATTTTGATTTTATTCTTGAATAATGTTTCTATTCAGCTGTTACAAAATGAAGAACATTCAAATAGGGGCCCAGCGAGATGGCTCAGTGAATAGAGGCACATGCCGCCAAGCTGACAACCTGAGTTCCAATCCCTGGGACCCACATGTGCATGACCTCCACACTTGTACCATGGCACATGTGTACCTATGCACACACATGCATATACATGAAATAAGTAAAATGTAATGATACTTTAAAAAAACAGTCAAATGATATTTTTTCTTTCTTTCTTTCTTTTTTTTTTGGTTTTTTGAGACAGGGTTTCTCTGTGGCTTTGGAGGCTGTCCTGGAACTCACTTTGTAGACTAGGCTGGCCTCGAACTCACAGAGATCCACCTGCCTCTGCCTCCCAAGTGCTGGGATTAAAGGCGTGCGCCACCAACGCCTGGCCCAAATGATATTTTATTAAAGATACTAATACCTGGGCATAGTATTAAAAACTTTGACAGCTGGGCATAGTACCATATGCCTGTAGTCCAAGTTAGGGTGTTGATAAATAATTAAGAGAACTGCCTGAGCCTAGGAGTTCTTAGCTACCTGAACATTATGAGATACACCCACTTTTTATTTTTAAATTATATGTGTATATGTATGTGCATATGAGTGCAGGTACTCTCAGACATCAGAAGAAGGTGTTGAGATCCCATCAACTGGAATCACAGGGGCTTTGAGTTGCCCGACATGTGTACTAGGAACTGAAGTGGGGTCCTCTGCAAAGTCAGGACATGCTTTCCACCACTGAACCATCTCCAGGCCGAGAGGCCTTTCTTTCTTTTTCTTCTTCTTTTGTGCTAAGGATTGAATGAAAGGCTTCACACATGTTAGGCAAGTATTCTACCACTGAGCTACATGTATGTGGTGTGTGTGTGTGTGTGTGTGTGTGTGTGTGTGTGTGTGTGTGTGTGTGTGTGTGTGTAAAAGTATCCTACCACTGAACATCCCAGCCTTGTGAGTAAGTATACACATATCTGTGTGTGAGGGGGATACATATATATGTGTGTGAAAGCTAGAACAGAGTCTTAGGTGTCATTCTTCAGGTGCTAGCCACAGTGGTTTTTGTTTGTTTGACTAAGGTCTCTTATGGCCTGGCATTGCTAAGTAGGCTAGGCCAGCTGATCAGGGAGCCCCGGAGATCCACTTATCTCAGTCTCCTCAGCATTGGTATTTTAAGTGTGTTCTGGGGATTGAACTCAGGATCTTGTGCTCATTGCAAGCACTTCACTGATTGATGCATTGTCTGGTACCCCATGTGTGTAGATTTTTAAATACAATATTTTTCTATACCAATGTGCTTTGTTATTATCCTGATGTAGTCAGGCATGTTTTCTGCAGTATAATTAATAATTTTGTTTTTCAAGACAGGGTTTCTCTGTGTAGCTTTGGAGCCTTCCCTAGAACTCACTCTGTAGACCAGGTTCACCTCGAACTCACAGAGATCTGCCTGCCTCTGCCTCCTGAGTGCTGGGATTAAAGACGTGTGCCATAAATTTTTGTATTGCTTTTTTGCTCCTGTTTTAGTCCTTAGTGACTAAAGAATACAAGTTGTGAAATCCACAAGAAATGGATCTGGTTATCTTGCTTGTGACTGTCCCAGAACCAGATAATACAGATTTTTATTGTTAGATTTTAGTAGTGATTGGCAAATCTCATTGCTTTCTAGGTTTTGGGAGACAGCTTGTTTTACATTTAACTTCTTTGTGTATAAAAATAAATATACTTTTATGTAAGTGTAGTTATACCTATCAGATTTTAATAACTTGGGAGAGAAGTTGTCATGGCATGTATTTAGGCCTTCTATGTTTTTGCAGATATGTAACACGAGTACAAATTTTTGCTTCAAATTTGTCACTCTGGTTTAGCTTATTATTTCTTTTACCTAGCCTTATCGACATTAAACACAAAATTTTGTGGTATTCATTTATTCTTTGAACCTTTATTTCTTTAAAACAAAACAAATTCCAATTAGGTTGTTGAAGAAATGTTCAGACGTATAAAGTAGTGAGAGTGTTACTATGGGCACCATGTACCTGTCACCTGGCTTCCACAATTACTAATATGTCTCATCTCTCTTTTCAACTGTACTGTTTTAAGTAAATCTCAGATATATAATTTCATAAGTAAGTACTTTAATGTGTATATATAATGTGAAATATTTTAATTTCATCAAATAATCAGCGTTTAAATGTCAAGCAAATATTTTCTTTCAGTTCATTTGAATCAATAGCTTTTAAAAAAGGACAGGATTATTAGTATTACTAAAATTTAATTTTATTACTATTATGTATATGATTTGTGTGTGCAAGCAAGTGAGAAAGAGTGTGTTTAAGTGTGTATGGGTGTCACATGTCACAGCTTGTTTGTTTGTGGTCAGAGGATAACTTTCAGGAGTCAGTTCTTGGTTTCCACATTGGGTCATTGGGTTTTGGGCATTGAACTCAGGTTGTCAAGCTTGTTTGGGAAGCACTTTTCATCTGCTGAGTCATCTTGTCAGTACAAAGACATGTTTGTTGAGACATGTTTTATACAGAATAAAATTCATATTTTGTGAGGATACAGGTACAAATTAAGTAAAGTTAAGTATCATATACCTAGAATATGTGGAACTGGAAGCATTTTTGATTTGGGGGGATTTAGGGAAGTGTCCCACATACATACATACATACATACTGAACTATATTGTCAATTGAACTCAAGTAAAAAATTCATTTATGTGCCATACCTGCCTTAAACACATAGCCTACAGATAATTTTGTATAATGTCCATAAGTCATTTTGTGTTTTGAAGCCAGTTTCACAGTGTAGAATCTCCTGTGACATTATTTTGTGCTAAAGAAAGTTTCAGATTTTGTCACATTATGGATTTTGGATTGTTGGATTAGAAGTGCTCAGAACCTGTATATTCACTTTATACCTTGTATGTGGATTTTGAGAAACAGGCAGTCATGTGTCTGTTAAAAATGCAGAATATTGTCTATTACTCCAGATTTTTGACCAATCTCCCTTTTCTAGTCCCCACACATTGGCAACCACTGGTTTGTTTTCTGAGTTCATTTATTTTCCCTTTTCTTATTGCATTAGGGTGACTTTTTGTGCCTGGTTCCTTTTGTCTAACATAGTTGAAGATAAACTAACCCAGCGGACATGTCACGTCTGTTACGTGTGAAGTTTTGTTGGCATGTAGACTTGTGTCTACATACTACTTGTTGCTCCTTTTACAGTACAGTGCTAGAATTGATTACTAACAGAGACATTACAGCCCACTGTCCTTTAGAGAGAAAAGCTTTTTTCTGTTTTGTTTTTAATTATATTAGGGATTTTTAATTTTTGCATATGGAGGTCAAATGTCTGTGATCTATGATCTGGTAATAGCCATCTTGTTAGTAAAGCCCCAAGGCAGTGTAGAACATAGCATAGCAAAAAAAACAGGGGTAGTGTATGTGTCTCATTTCTGTTTTAGTGTATTAGTAGGTATTAGAAGCTGACTTCATTTTCATTGTTGAGTAATATTTCACTGATTGAATGTATCACATTAAATAAATTAATAATTGGGTCTGGAGAGATGGCTCAGCAATTGAGTAAGAGTGCTTTTTGCTCTTGCAGAGGATCCAAGTTCAGTTTCCAGCGCCCACTTTGGGCAGCTCACAAGTCTCTAACTCCAGCTCCAGGGAATCTGATGCCCTTTTCTGGCTTCCACAAGTACCCTTCCTTATAGATGGAGCATTGAGCATAAAGTCACAGTCACATACACATAAATTGGAAAAAAAAAAGACCTCAACCAAAGTGTTTGAACTGTTTTCAGCTTTTAGCTGCTATGAATCTAGTACCTATAAACATTTATCATTTATGTACAAATTTTTATATTCACATACATTTTTATTTTATTTATTATTTATTTTATGAGATGAGGTTTCTCTGTATATCCCTGTCTGTCCTGAACTGGCTCTGTACCAGGCTGGCCTTGAGTTCAGAGATCCACCTGCCTCTGCCTCTCCAGTGTTGCGATGAAAAGCATGCACCACTGCTCCTGGCTCCATGCAAGTTTTTCGTTTCTCTTTGGTACATACTTAATGGAATATAAAGTCATGGTAAGTATATATCTTTTATAAGAAACTTCCATGTCTGGGAAAAAGGCTCTGTTGGTGTAAATTACTTGCTACATAAGTTTAGGGCTCTGAGTCCAGATAGCCAGCACTCATGTAAAAAGCCGGGCAGGGCTCATATGCCTATAGCCCTAGGAGAGACAGAAATATTTCTGCAGCTGGCTGGCCAGTCAGTGTTGACAAATCAGTGAGCTGTAGGATCAATGGAATGAATCCTATCTGGGAAAAATAAGATGAGAATGAGAGGAAGAAAGCCAGTGTTGGCACACACATATGTGCAATCCCCCTCATGAACATGTTCATTCCTCCCTCCCTCCCTCCCTCCCTTCTTCCCTCCCTCCCTCCCTCCCTCCTTCCCTCCCTCCCTCCCTCCCTCCCTCCCTCCCTCCCTCCCTCCCTCCCTCCCTCCCTCCCTCCTACAGACACACACACACACACACACACACACACACACACACACACACACACACTTCCATGTTATCTTCCAAAGTGATTAGACCATTTTTCATTTATTAGCACTATATGAAAATTCCACTTGTTTTAGATCTGTGTTGGCATTTGATAGTGTCACTTTTTTTTGTTTGTTTGTTTGTTTTTCGAGACAGGGTTTCTCTGTATTGTTTTGGAGGCTGTCCTGGAATTCGCTCTGTAGACCAGGCTGGCCTCGAACTCCCAGAGATCCACCTGCCTCTGCCTCCCGAGTGCTGGGATTAAAGGCGTGCGCCACCAATGCATGGATGGTAGTGTCACTTTTGTGTGGGTCTGTATGTGCTTATGTTTGTGTTTGTTTGTATGTGAGATACAGTGTGTGTTTGGTATGTGTATGCATGTGGAGGCCAGAGGCCACCTACTTCAAATGTTCTTCAGGAGCTGCCCACCTTGAGTTTTGAGACAGGGCCTTTCATCAAATAGGCTAGGCTGGCCGGCCTGTGAATCCTAAGGATCCTTCTGTCTTTGCTGCCCTAATGCTGCGTTTATGAGTACACCACCATTCCCATCTCTTTTACATGGTTTCTGAGGGCTCAAACTTGGGTCCTAATGGTTGATGGCAAGCACTACGAGTTTTGTTTTTAATTGAAAAGTTTATTAATTTAAGTTATGTGTATGGGACTGTGCAGGTGCCATAGGAGGTCAGACGCTTCCAAACCCCTGGAGTTAGAATTACATGTGCCCAACAAGGGTCTTGGGAACCAAATTCAGGTCCTCTTCAAGAGTGACTCATGCTTAACCACTGAGTCATCTCTCCAGCTCCAGTTGTTTTTTCGTTTTTGTTTGTTTTGAGACAGGGTCTCATTGTATAACCCTAGCTGCTTGGAACTTGCTATGTAGACAGTGTTGGCCTGAAACTTAGAGATCTGCTGTCTCTGCCTCTGACACAGAGATGAAACTGTATTACTTGGCCCAGTTCTTAAAAAAACAAAACTTTTAATACACTTATAGCACTAGCTCACAGTGGTTTATTTGCATTTCTCACGTAAAGTGACATTGGTTAATTCTTTGATGTATTTATTTGCTTTCTTCTTTTTTTCCTTCTCAATGTTAAATGGTTTTTGTTTTTTACTGTTTTATGTGTGTTTTAGGTACATATCATTAATCAGATGAGTGTTTAGCAAATATTTTCCTATAGCCTATAATTTGTCTTTTTATTCTCTTAATATCTTTTGAAGATCTTTGATACCTTTTAAAGTTTAAAAATTTAGATAAAGTCCAGTTTAATAATTTTTCCTTTTATGTTCATGCTTTATGCCTAACTCAAGGTCATTAATATTGTATTCTCTGTTTTATTCTAGATGTTTTATAGTTTCATATTTATTGTCAAATATATTTTGGATATTACAAAAAGCTGTAATTGAGCCAGGTGGTGATAGCACAGACCTGTAGTTCCAGTACTCACGAGGGCAAATCATTTTGAGTTTGAGGCCAGCCTGATCTACAGAGCTAGTTCCAGGATAGCTAGGGCTACATAGCTAAACCATGTCTCAAAAAAAAATGTTGTAAATATAACAGGAAGCTAAATTTTGATAGGTTGCAAAAGTATAAATCCAGGTTTATTTTTAGTTGTGGATCTTCAGTTGTTTACTACTGAAAAACATACATTTATCCATCAGCTTATTTTGATACCTTTTCAATAATTAATTGATGAGTTACATACTTAAAGAGTAAATTATATCAGTAAATTAGCTTTAAAAGTCACTTGAAGCCAAGTGTGGTGCCACAGATCTGTAGTCAGCAGCTGCTCAAAGCTGAGACACTCAGGAATTATTACAAGTTCAAAGCCTAGCTGGGAAACCTAGCAAGACCTTGTCTCAAAATTAGAAAGGGCTGAGACTGTAGCTTAGTGGTAGAACAGCTGCCTAGTGTGAGACCCTGGTTCAGCTCTTAGAACCACCAAATAACCAAAACTAGACAGAAACTCAAGCAAATTGACTATATATATGTAGGTCTAATTCTAGAGGGTTTTTTCCCTGTGTTTTGTCTCTCTTTTTTCAGTGCCATGATTTGATTGTATTTTTATAGTGATTATTGAAATAAATCAGTGTGAATATTCCTTTGTTTCCCCTGGAAAAAAATCTTTTGGGGGGGGAGGGTAATATTCTGGGTCCTTGTTAATCCATATAAACTTTAGGATCAGATTATTGATATCAACAACAAAAATCTGCTGGGATTTTTTTTCTGTGATCTCATTGGATGTATAGACAATTTAGAAACAACACACAGTAATTTTTTTAAGTACTAATTTGCCTGCATGCATGTGTACCACGTGTATTGAGGAGGCCAGAAGAGGTCCTTGTTGGTTTTGTTTTGTTTTTTAAGATTTACTTAATTTTGTATATTTTAAAATTTTCTACATACATGTGTATGTTTAGTATGCCATATATGTAAGGGTGCTCTCCATGGCAAGAAGAGATGTTGAATCACCTGGAGCTGGAATTACAGGGGAGTCGGTCAGGTTTTTACTGTGAATTTCATTCTGTAATAGGTAGTACTCTTAAGGTTATTTTTTCAACATATCTGTTCATTTCATCCATATTGTCAAATGTAGTGGCATAAAGTTGTTTATAGTATTTCCTGTTGTCCTTTAATGCCTAAACAGACCTGTAGCTCTTCGTTCTGAATACCCACATGTAGTCCACATGACTGAAAGTGGGGAGCAGTGGTGAATTAGAATCAAGATCCTCCTGTGTCCTCCACCTCCTGAGTGCTGGAATCAAAGGCATGAACACTATGTTTTGTTTAAAAAAAAAAGCCACTTAGACCAGATCTCTGACTTGAGTATTTTTTCTTTCATTGTATGGTTTGGCAGGACCTGAGGATGTGCTTGGTGGCAGCTCCCTGCTCCTGAGTTACATAGGGCTGGCACCTTCAATTTTTTTTTTCAGTTGATTATGCCAGAAGCATATCAAGAGAAATTTCTACCTGGATTTTTATTAATTGACGTTTTGCCTATTATTGAAATTAATATTTGTTTGAAATAATTTAAATTTTAGTAAATAGAATTGCATTTTCTTATTGGTTTACATTGTGGCTGGTTTTTGTAATTCACATGTTTGTTTAAACTTCCTTTCCTAATGATTTCATGTGTATATTCTCCATTTTCTGGGAGAACTACTTTAAGGTCTTAATGATTTTTTTTTTGTAGTAGAATAAGTTATTTTCAAACAAATAACATTTTGAAAGCTGTTCATCTATTCCTTGGTATCAGAAATTCACTATTTTGGCAATAAATATCTTTATTATACTTTTGGTAGAATTCTAAATAAAATCTTAATATGTTAAATATCTTTCCTTTTCTCTAGGCATGGCTGATGGCAAACATTGTACTTTTCCACATCTACCTGGCAAAACTTTTGTTTATAATGCTTCTGAAGATAGACTGGAGTTGTGTGTCGATGCTGCAGGACATTTCCCTATTGGTCCTGATGTTGAAGATTTAGTTAAAGAGGCTGTAAGTCAGGTTCGAGCGGAGGCTACTACAAGAAGTAGGGAATCAAGCCCCTCCCATGGGTTATTAAAACTAGGTAGTGGTGGAGTAGTGAAAAAGAAATCTGAGCAACTTCACAATGTAACTGCCTTTCAGGGAAAGGGGCATTCTCTAGGAACTGCATCCAGTAACCCACACATTGATCCCAGAGCTAGGGAAACTCTGGCTGTAAGAAAGCATAATACAGGGACAGATTTTAGTAATAGTTCCATTAAAACAGAGCCTCCTGTGTTCACAGCTGCTCCTAGTAACAGTGAGCTTATTCGAATAGCTCCTGGAGTAGTAACAATGAGAGACGGCAGGCAGCTTGATCCTGATGTGGTTGAGGCCCAGCGAAAAAAATTGCAGGAAATGGTTTCTTCTATTCAGGCTTCAATGGACAAGCACTTGCGGGATCAGAGTACAGAGCAGACACCATCTGATCTTTCTCAAAGGAAAGTAGAAGTTGTGAGTTCTTCTGGGAGGCCCGGGAGTCTTCAGACTGGCTTGCCTGAGTCTTTTCCTTTAACTGGTGGCACGGAGAATCCGAATACCGAAACAACTGATAGTTGTGTGGCAGATACACTGGGAGCAGCATTTGCCACAAGGTCAAAAGCACAAAAAGAAAATTCCATGGAGGAACCTGAAGAGATGGATAGTCAAGATGCTGAGACGACTAACACAACTGAGCCAATGGATCACTCTTGATTTAATTAGAGGCTAATAAAGGCAGAATGTTTATTGTGAATATGTAATATTTGTTGGCTGGGCCACATAACTTGAGTAGTTATTAAAAATCTTGTACGTATATAATTCAAAGATTATATCTTGTTATTCAGTGCATGATAGCAAGTGTGTGATTGGCAATAGCTTTTAATATACTGCTGCCCAGGCTGGCTCTGAATTCTTGTAAATTAGTTTAGATATGTTGAAAGAGTTTCTTCCGTATATGTGGTTCATTGGAAGTTCTTTGTCATTTTAATTCCATGAAAGTCTTAATTTACAGACATGAAAAATCTCTTGCTAAATGTTTGGTTTCTGCAAAGACCAGAATTGAAAAGAAAATGAGAGTTTGTACATGTTGCCATCAAGGTAGCCATCCTACATGTCATAAGAATGTCAATTTCAAGTTTACCTGAACTAAATATCTTAAAATACATAAAACACTTTATTAGACTAAAAAGTTATAACATTATAGAGACACCTATTGTTGGCAAAAATATCCTGACAGAGTGTAATGATACAGCATTTTCCTGGTTTGAGCTAAGTTGGGAAGAATGATCTATCCTAGTATGATAAAGTCATTGTGATTCAGTTAGTTGGTCTGAGCCAATATGGCCACTTGTGTGCTCTTGTTGATAGTATGTTGCCATTATTTTTTTAATCTTGGCCTTGTCAAGCTTGACCTATTTTTTAAATCTTGCATAAAAGAGAATTACAATTTGTTTTAGAAAATTTAAAAATAATGGTAGCAGTAGTTAATTTTTTAACTTTTGAAGTATGTCAGAGTCACAGAAAATTTATCTTTATGAATGGGTTACATTGTTCTACAGTTTTGACACAGTGGTGTTTAAGCCTGTATATGCTAAATATCTCTGAGCCCCTTTGAACCAAAAATGTTTCCTTTTTTTCTTAGATTTTCTGTAAGATTTTTTTTTGTTGGCTTCACTTGAGTTTGGGTGCAACATACCATGAGCAACTGAGCATTTGCTTAAACATTGCATTCATTAACTCTTCAGTGCCAGCTTCCTCAAAGCAACTTCCATGCCTATTCTTTAAAAGCAGAGTTTATACTCCTGAAATTGGTACTGCACTATTGTATTCTGTTCTGCAGATCTGTATTTGTAAATGTATTTCAGCCCATCATCTTCCTTTGTTTACTGAAATTAAGTTGAATTTGAATGAATGAAAGACAAATGTATGTTAATATAATCTCTTAGAGCATTCAAAGCCTGGCTGTCTCTGTTTGCACATGTAACAGATGCAGAACTGTTTGCAATTCTACAAAACTATATGTCAGAAAATACATTGTCAGGTGTTTAAAAATCTCTACCTGTTCATTTGAAAGGGATATAAGTTGTACTTTTAGCTTTTTCTAGATAAGGGAAGTTTTTATCTTTTTTTCTGTGATTTTTTAACTGAATCCAAATTAATTACCCCACTTTGTTGAAAAAGGAAGGAATGGAGACTCTAGACATTTTACAAATGTAGCTGAAGTTAAGATAATGTACACCACACCACACCACACCACACCACACCACACCACACCACACACACCACTCTGGATTGGTGTTTATCATACCACATGCTTTGCAATATTTTATCTCCATCCATTTCTAAATTTACTTTCACATATCTTTACATCAAAGTACTAGGAAAATTTTACATTGTATACTAGTTACCAATTCTTAAAGATTAGCTGTGCTTTAAATGGAAAACCACCTTCCCCCATCTCTTCACTCACCACTATCATCATTTTGTCTTATTAAGCCACTGAAATATTCTTTAAATTTTTTTTCCTGGTTTAAGTACAAGGAAACTGTTCAATAAACAGAAAACGTACTGCTTCAAATAAATTATATAACTGCCCTGCTTTAACAGATGCTCTTCTGTGGCTTGGTATGTTTAGTTAATAACTGGCAGGATCTCAAAGCATTAGACTATCAGAAACAAATTTTGTTTTTTCTGGACACAGTCTCACTATATAGCCCTGGCTGGCCTGGAGCTCACTGTATAGACCAAGCTGGCCTTAAACTCACAGAGATTTGCCTTTCTCTGCCTCCTGAGTTCTGAGACTAAAGGCATAGACTACCATGCCTGACTAGAAACAGATTTTATCTCCGTATTAAATACTTGAATTTAGTGTAAACTATATACATGTGACCGTTAGAAGATAGGTTTAATCTCTGACAATACTTCATTGTCTCCAGTGAACAGTAGTGGTATTTAGGGTTAGAAACTTAGCTGGGTATAACTAACAGTTTGGGTTCTCCCTTGATAAAAAATGCAAACAAAAAACAGGCTTGAGAATTCATTAGAATTCTTGAACATATTTTAACTCAGTTGATATTTGAATGGGATAATTAGTGGTTTGGGGTAAGTTCTCAGAGAGTTTGTGTCAAATATCATCTTTGTATTTATGTAAGTGTAGATGATTTTTTACCATTGTGATGCCACTGTATTGCTTCAGTGGTGTACAATAGTTTGTGATCTTAATGTGACATAACTAATTCAAACCAGTTGAGTTATATTTTCAGGGTTTCACTGAACACTGAAGTAATATAAATATTTTTCTTCAGTAATCCATTCTGAAATCATACCAAATTTGAGTTGATGACCCAAAGTCTAGGCAGTTAAACGTGGTGTATGTCCAGAAAGCTGGTAATGAACGATGGTTCTAATGGAAGGAAATAAGACACTGCCAAGTATTATGACTAGTATACAGTTAGCTCCAAGGGAATGGTTACTCAGGAACTGAAGAGCAAGCCTAGATAGCCCATTCCTCTCCCATCCCTTAAACTATGTTTCAGGTGTTTACTGGAAATCTTTAGGAAAGAGAGAGGCCTGAGAAATTCAGCAAATGCTAATATTTGAAATTTACTTTATACTTCCTATGGTTTTCAATTTGGTTTTTATAATGAAGCTTTACTACTTGCAGATGAGATTGCATTCTAGAATGTACCTGTGAGTCACTTTGTTTATTTTAGGGTTTTGTTTTTGTTTTTGTGTTTTTGAGACAGGTTTCTCTGTCTCTGGTTATTCTGGAACTCACTCTACAGACCAGGCTGGCCTGGGACTCAGATCACCTGCCTCTTCCTCCTACATGCTGGGATTAAAGGCATGTACCACCACCACCTGGCTACAGGTTTGGTTTTTGTTGTTGTTGTTTGTTTGGTTTTGGTTTTTCGACACAGGTTTTCTCTGTGTGGCCTTGGCTATCTTGGAACTTGCTCTTACATGTTTTTATTGTCATTATTTTAAGAATCATCTTAATTGGATATGAACAGTGTCTTACATAGGATCTCTTACCTCAGGGAAGAACATTTACTAGCAAATCCTGTTATTGAACAGTTTTGGAGAATTTCTTTGACACATCACATGTTAACTACCAAATGCAAAAAAGTATTGTTTTATGCAGTTACCTGCTGTCTGCTGCTGAACATTTCTCTAGATATTTAGGACCTTACTAACAAGTAACATTTAGATATGAAAATTAACTAACTTCTGTCATTAGTTATACTCATCTTGACACTATATTGATAGTATATTTTTTATTTCAGAGCATTAATAAAGTTTTATCCTCATTTTTCAACAATCAATTTAATTGGCCCAAACTTAAAATATTAAAGAGCAAAACTTGTGGGGTTTTTGGCTTTTGCTTTTTTTTTTTTTTAGATCTAAAAGCAAAGTCTCCACTTTAAGATTCTTATAAAATCAGAGCCCTTGCAAGTTTGTTTAAATTCCACTTGTTTTAATATATTTAAAGTTACCTTTTATAGTAGAAATAGATGTATATTCTAGGTTGGCTAGATGTTCTACTTTCCAAGACTGTGTCATTTAACAAAATGTACAACACAGGCTTTTCACAATTCAGTTATTATTATTTTTCAAACAAGAGCAACTCATGAAAATAGGCCATAGTGGTAAAAAGTATATTTAGAGAATAAAATAATAAAGGGGAGATAGATCACTAACATCACAGAATTAATTGCAAGTTCTGCCATTCCTTGAGATGCCAAGTGTTTCAGATCATATTTAATGATACTCAAATCGTGGAAATTTGAACGTTTGTTCCAAAATAGCAGAAGCTTTACAGTAATTGTGAATTATTGGATAAAATGCCATTACTTGTATATCTGACATTTAAAGTTTTTAATTATGGAGTTGACTTTTTTTGTAGTAGTATAATACAATGACTATTCTCTTGTAAAAGAAAAGGAAAAACTAGTAAAGAAAAAGTTTTAGTTGATGTTATCTGCTTGTATCAATTACTAGTATTTTAAAATTTAAGCTATTGCATACTTTTCTTTAGAATGCAGAACACCCTCCTGGAGCCTTTACGCCTGTTGTAGAGCAATAAAGGACTGAAAAGTTTGTCAGTATTTTCAGGGTTGTTTGACTTTAAGCACTAGTGCTAAAAATTGGAGAGTTTCCTTTGTGGAGGGAAATGCTACTTATTTAGACTAAAACCAAGCACTAATAGTGTAAATATTTAGACAAAAAACTAGCAAGTACTTTAACTTGGCAGTGAAGTGTTGTAGATGCTATATCATCCATAAGGCACTAGCTGTTAGACATCACTTTGATTTCACGATTGTTTGTATATATTATGATTGAGAATGAATAATTGGTAACAGTATAACAGTATAGTGTTCTTGGGCACACCTCACTGTACAGTATTTGAAGTTTTGTATTAATAATAAAACTAAGTTAATAATATATTACTGATTCTCCCTCAACTTCACATTGGCTTTTTAAAGTAATATTCCGTAGTTTCCTGGAATTATACTGTAATATCATAATGCATGAACAAATAGTTCAGTTTTATAAAAAAATTCTTAGAATAAAGTTTTTTTTTAATGTCGTATATGAATTACACAGGAACTGTAATTTCTTAATGCAGAATTTAGTATTAGATGAAATGGATCCAACTAGGGATACAAAACAAAACAAAGTTTCTTTAGAAAGTTGGGTCATGTAATGTTTACTAAATATTTCAAAACAAGTTATGTTCTAATAGAGAATTTGTTTTTTAAAAAGTACTATTATGATGAGGAAATGAAAGAAAATACAGAAAATAGCACTAGGTTCCTTATTTTCATAGCTTACCTGTCAACTGTCCACTTACTTTTAAGTTTTACCATATTTACTTACTATTTATTGTGCCACAGTGGTTAGAACTGCCCTAGACACCAGCCTCAGGTGCAAGTCTTAGCATACTGCTTACTGTGTAACCTGTTTCGGTTTCTTCTTGGGAAGATGGTAACGGTGTTTACCGCTAGAATTGTGAGGATTGATGACTTACTACCTGAACATGGGAACCATGCCTGGCAAGTGTACATCCAGACACTTGCTGTGACGAGTGTGCTTTAAAGTTATAGAGTTGAGCTGCCGCAGGAGTGAAGTGCAGTCCTCCATGTACGGCGTGTGTGTTACTTACTCTCTCAAATCTAGAATTTGTTGCATTTGTAGTATGTTACTAATGAGTAGAGACTGGATATTTTTACATCCTTAGATTTCTACGGGGCTTTGTGATCTTATTAAATACCGAGAATCTGGAGAATTGACATTGTGTACTGTGACCGAGACAAGCTATGGAGCTTCTAAAGGCCTGTTTCTGCTGTAACCTTGAGGGTTTACAGTTGTTCCTCCGTGTGTGCTGACCACAGCTGCCCTTGCTGAGAGTGGTGCTGGTGCAGCAGGCACCGGGAACTAATAATTGCCTTTGCTTTCTGCTGAGGCTGCAGTCACAAACTTGGACTTGAGGTCTTCTGTGTGCGTGCCATAGGTCACAAACCATCAAGACAGAGCTCTCAAAACCTTCAGTAAATAAAGTAGGGTAAACACTCCACTTCAGATAGTTCATTACTGGGTTACTTTTATTGACTGGCTGTCACTCCCCAAGAAGTACAATCTGACTGAATAATTGATTGTTTCTAATAATTAAAAATGTACAGACAAAAATTGAAGTAAGTCAATTGATTTTTCTACAATATCTACATGGAAAGTGAAAAACAGGTTCTTCCAATTCACACCCTTTGGAGTGAAACCAGTCTTTCCTTCACTTATACTTGTGTGCGTGCATGTGTGTATGCATGTATGTGTGTGTGAGTGATTATACCTGTCTTGGTTTTACATAGATGAAATGTGGTCTGCCTGTAAAATTACTAATTTTTACTTTTGATTTGTGGAATCAGGACATTGTGTAGTCATACATGTAACCATTCATTCAAAACAAGTATTTGTCAAAAACCACATTTTTCTAGGAACTGGTGAAGCAGTTCTGAAAGACAAATTCCATGTGTTCTTGTGTGATTATGGTCAAG